AAAATTCTGAGGAAAATACGGGGAGGTATAAAATCTAGGACAAGATTGAAGGAATGGTTGTGCTAACATACATTTCTTTGCATATAGAGCTATTGCTTCAAGTTATTTTTTCCATTAGATTGTGTTTGTGTGTGTTTATGTGTCAAATGCTAATTTTTACTCTTGCAAATTTTGTACACTCTTAAAGTAAGCGTGATGCTCCAGGTCCTCCTCAGTCTTCCATGAATTGTACAGAATTCTTTTTTAAAAATATATTTTATTGATTATGCTATTAGAGTTGTCCCATTCCCTCCTTTATTCCCCTCTGCCCTGCACCCCCAAATTCCATCCCCCTCTTTAGTTCATGTCCATGGGTCATACATATAAGTTTTTTGGTTTCTGCATTTCCTATATTATTCTTAACCTCCCCCTGTTTATTTTCTACCTACCATGTATGCTTCTTATTCCCTGTCCTTTTTTCCCTCTCTCCCCCTCCCACTCCCACACTGATAACCCTCCATGTGATCTCCACTTCTGTGGCTCTGCTCGTTTTAGCTGTCTGCTTAGTTTGCTTTTGTTTTAGGTGTGGTTGTTAATAACTGTGAGTTTGTTGTCATTTTAGTGTTCATATTTTTTATCTTCTTTTTCTTAGATAAGTCCCTTTAACATTTCATATAATAAGGGCTTGGTGATGATGAACTCCTTGAACCTGACCTTATCTGGGAAGCACTTTATCTGCCCTTCCATTCTAAATGATAGCTCTGCTGGATAAAACAATCTTAGATGTAAGTCCTTGACTTTCATGACTTGGAATCCTTTCCAGCCCCTTCTTGCCTGTAAGGTCTCTTTTGAGAAATCAGCTGACAGTCTGATGGGAATGCCTTTGTAGGTAACTGCCTCCTTTTATCTTGCTGCTTTTAAGATTCTCTCCTTATCTTCAATCTTGGGTAATGTGATTATGATGTGCCTTGGAGTGTTCCTCTTTGGGTCCAACTTCTTTGGGACTCTCTGGGCTTCCTGGACTTCTTGCAAGTCTATTTTCTTCACCAGATTGGGGGAGTTCTCCTTATTTGTTCAAATAAGTTTTCAATTTCTTGGTCTTCCTCTTCTCCTTCTGTCACCCCTATGATTCAGATGTTGGAGCGTTTCAAGATGTCCTGGAGGTTCCTAAGCCTCTATTCTTTTTTTTTTTTGAATTCTTGTTCCTTCATTCTGTCCTCCTTGAATGTTTTTCTTCCTTCTGCTCCAAACTGTTGATTTGAGTCCCAGTTTCCTTCCCCTTACTTTTGGTTTCCTATAGATTTCTATTTCACAATGCGACCTGGGTGCTTTTTATGCTGTTGAAGTACCCAGTGAGTTCCTGGAGCATCCTGATAACCAGTGTTTTGAACTATGCATCTGATAGGTTGGCTATCTCTTCATGGCTTACTTGTATTTTTTCTGGAGCTTTGGTCTGTTCTTTCATTAGGTTTTTTTTTTATCTCGGTGCACCTGCTACGTATAAGGGGCAGAGCAAGCCACGTGCCTGCGTTGTGATGCTGTATGTGGGGGAGGGGTTGAGGGGAAACAATGGCATTTGCTCCTCTCTCTGCTGGCTTTGTCACTTCCCGGGCTCCCCACAAGCAAAGTGGGCCCTTCTGGGGCTGATTCCTGGGTGGGTGGGTTTGTGCATGTTCTAGGACCCTGTGTGTCTCTCCAACAAGTTCTCCTGTGAGGCTGGGAGTTTCTTCTGCTGCCACCTCACCCCCCACAGGTGTTTTCAATCAGTGATCTGAAGCTCCTCCCCCGCTCCTGCACTGGGGCCGAGTTGTGTGTACCTTCCCGCTCCCCAGGTGCTCCTCCTGGTGTATCTGTGCACGAATGTGTGACTGCCCAGTCCACCAGCTGCCACCTGGCCCCTCCAACCAGTCTGGGTGAGTGTTTCTTCTTTAATTCCTTGGTTGTCAGACTTTCATAGTTTGATTTTGTCAGTTCTGGTTGTTTTTTGTTTTTAAATCGTCCTTCTTCCTGGTCGTGCAAAGAGGTGCAGTGTGTCTCCCTACACCTCCCTCTTGGCTGGAAGTCCTACAGGAGAATTCTTCAAGTTAGAATTCTCCAGGAGGGTTCTTCAAATTCTGTTCAGGATTATCTTACCCAAGAGGACAAGACAGGCAAAAAGCAGCTTCCCTTTCATGTTTTTCCTTTTGGAAGAGACTTAAACATCATCCTGTTTAGGGTTTGGTAGGAAATGCTTTAGTACTAGCAGTAAGGGAACTCAGAGGTAACTCTGTGGCAGTGAGCACAAACGCACCTGAGACATGTTTGATATCTATCAGAGCCCATCTTGTCCAGCGAGGGGTGTCCAACCTGCGGCCACGGAGCGCGTGCGGCCCAGGATGGCTGTGAGTGCAGGCTGACACAAAATTGTACATTTACTTAGAACACGATGAGATGTTTTTGTGACTACATGTTGCAATCTATTTAATGTGTGTTCCAAGACAACTCTTCTTCTTCCAGTGTGGCCCAGAGATGCTAAAATGTTGGACACCCGAACAGCAAACAAAGCAGGTGAGTCAATAGTCATGAGGCCACCCCACCCCCATCTGGGTCTTGGAGGGAAGCTGGTGAGGATCCCTATTGCTGAAATAACAGGTTTGGGGGGAGGTGGATCAATAAAGTGATAGGAGCTAGGAAGGATGACAAAAGGCTGATTTCCATCCGGTATGATGTCCAGAGACCCACTTCTATTCCTTGTTCTCTGAAGGACAGAAAACCTGGGATCCTAGCAACTGAGTCACGGTCTAGCACAGTGGCACGTGGCACTGTTTTAGATGGGACAGGAAGGACCTTAGTGGACCAGCCCTTCTGTTCATACACAGGCAATGGCAGAACCAGATAATAAAAATCCAGGAGCAGTGGCTTCGTGTAAAAACCATCACTACAAACCTGTGTGGCACCTTTTTCTATTTGGAAGCTGTTAAAAGAACTCCAATTTTTATTCTGGTATCAGGTGGTCATGTGCTTTGGGTGAACCTCACCCAGGTACCAGGGATGTGAATTCTGATTAGTTTCAAGTCAATAACCATGCCAGGTACTGTTGTAGGAGAGGACAGATAACATAATCATGGCCAATAAAATCTGGGAGTTATTTTGCTTAGAATCCTCTGGAAAAGATTTTATTTGCTCTTTGAAAAAGGGGTACACAGGAAATGGCTCTCTTTTTAAGGGCTTACATGGTGCATGAGGATTTGATGCTTACTTAGTCCCTCTAGCCATCTAGCCTCTAAGAAAACAAGACCAAGGATGACCAAGTAGAAAAATAGAAAGAACCTGCATCCTTGGTGTTTTTAAGATGCTAAATTGACTCCCCTGTAACAACTCCCTATCTTGGGTCTTACTGTTACACATTTATTTTCCTTATGTTGAACATATTTTTACTTGGTCTTCTAACATTTGCTGTCAAAAGTACCCAAAGTGACAACTGTCACTAGCTCTGTATTTTCTGAGGTCAGGAAGCATATGAGGTAACTGACCAGTGAAGCATGCCTCATGATTTGAGGGAGAAGGATCCCTGGACTTGGGTTCAAGAGCAATTTACTACCTGCATTTGGGCGTCACACTTAGCCTTGCTTTCATCATCTGTAAAATGATGCTAATTATCTTTATTTCATAGTAAAAAGGAAAATAATGGAAGTGAAAGCATTTTGTATACAAATGTGCTTTTTAGCACAAAATGTCTTAGAAAGATCAATTTAGTCTCCAAGTTCGCCCCAGGGTCGCAGGTTGGATGCCCCCCCCCCCCCAGTGGGCACTGTTGTCAGGGCACAGCTGGGAGCACAGGCAGGAGGGGCGGGATTCTGAACGGCTCCCTTCGGGTTCAGCAGGAGTATCCTGATTCTAAGTGTCTTTCGTGGGACAGAAATGTAGTGGTACCAGCGTACCTGACCACTTGTATTGCTCGTTTCCTTGCTATTTTAAGGCATTTTCTATTTCAATTCTGCTAACTGGTTTTGGCCCAGTCGGGATCTGTATATAAACCTGTACAACTATCTTGATTGTTTAAACATACTACAAATGAAACCTCAACTATTTATTGTGTTCTTGAGGTGGTCTTTATGTGTAAAAATTAGATATATTTACGAAATGGTCTTCCTTGAGTTTTGGGTAACACCTATCTCGAAACTCAAAAATGAAACCCCAGAACCCCTCACCAACAGGAATACTATAAACGTAGCTTTTATTCTTTTCTTACCTTCACCCAAAAGGGCCTCATGCCACCAAGACATATTTTGAAACTCAGTCATTGAACACTGAGCTCAAGAGCCCGATGATTCTTTTTCTAGACAACTGCTGAGTATCTGACATTGCTTTTCAAAAAACAACTAAGACCTGTTTTTATTACTTTGTTCCTTTTTAAAGTAGTGATATCTTATCTTTTCATAAAAACATAAAATATCTCTAGTAGTCCCAACTGTCTTACATTTACATTTGTTCTAAGTATTTGTTTCATTAAAATTACTCTGAAGTAAGTGCACTTCTAAAGAGAAAATAAAGTCTAAAGACAAGAAGAAAGAGTCATGAGTGTTGCAGTCATTCTGAATCTTAGCAATTCAAAGAGAAAATGTATTTTGCAGCAGGGACTTCTCTACCGATTGAAATTTCAGTTCATTCACTTGTAGATCATCAAAAGATGGATAGCTGTTTCTCTTACAAGTAGATACTAATTGACTCACTATCTAAAGGTTTTCTGCAATGAAACACCAAAAATAAATGTATTTAAAATATTTTAAAATTTATAGATTTATATAAACAGGTGTTTTAAAAAATAAAAAAGTGTGCTTTTATAGATATAAATAAAAGCCTATTTTAAGCTTAGCAACCAAAGAATGTTTTAAATATTCCACTTATGTTATTCAGCTATATATTCAACTAAAAAAAGGTTGATTTATAAGAAATTCCTTATATTTAGATAGCACTATGCTTCAATATAAAGAGTTAAAGCTATGTTAATAAGAAAAGCATAAAAGAATAACATAACTTGCTTTAATACAAAGTTTTTTTAATAAAAAAGTCAAGGTCTACATTAAATCAGGAAATCAATAAATCTGAATTATACAAGCTTTCTATATACTTAGAAAAACCAAAAACACACAGTTTATAATAAAACTCTTTAATTCAAAATAGAGTCTAATTTAAAGAAAATGTCATTATGCCCAGTTGAGTAGATAAGAGTTTTGTCATTTAAATTAAATGGTTCACCTGAAATATGGAAAATGTACAATAGAGAAGATTCAATCTCAAGGGTACTTCACAAATTTGCTAGCTAGCTTGCATCATGAATCAAATTCTTAGCTTCCAAAGGGCTGACACAGTCTTTAATTGCTTTTAGATAGGCACTTAAGAAATGCTTTTGATAAGGAGGAAACCCAGACACTGTGAATCACTCTGTTAACTCCTGGGAAGTGAGACCCTAAACACAGTAAGCTTCCGCCACTGCCTTTCACGGCCAGAAGTCACAGAGCTATTTCCAAGTTCCACGTGTTAACAAAAAGGAGGGAGAAGAAAACTAAAATGCTCAATTTCTTATTCAGTTAAAAAGTAAATTTAGACAAGTCAGTTCCTTTATCTCTCTCTCGACTTGGACTGATGATAGTTTTCTGTACCGAAACAGTTACCATATAAGAACTAGGGAATGTTGCCATTTCCTCAGATATTACTCATTCACTGTAACACTAGCAAAACAGTCCTTTAACAAGGAAGGGGGGTGGCAGCGAGGTGTGGTGAGAAAAATCTCCTAAAGTTCAGCAGAAGTTAAAGATTTCTTTTCAAATTAGCAGCAGTTATGATTAGAAAAACTGAGTGAGTAAAATTGAGATAACCCCAGAATTTTAACAGTTCTTCTACTTGGCCACGTGATCTGAACAAGAAAGTGGAGATGAACTATTAGAGGAACACATAATAAGTATTAAACTAATATTAGAATATACGAATGAAAGGGAGGAAGGAGGGAAGAAGAGAAGGGAGTGAATTTGGTGGGGGAGTCCCCAGAACGGCCTCATTGAAACATTGTGGAACGACCTAGCAGCAACGTTTGTAACACCTTTTGTAGATTTGCATAATGATCCTATGGAATTCTTCCCAATTAGGGAAAATATCCCTAAAGATAAATCATCATTTTCGATTTTGCTCACAGATCATTTATAATGGTTATATTTGTTGTATCTTTTAAAAAATTCAATCAACAGTTCAGACAAACATTAGGCCATTCTTTGATAAAGTATTATTCCTTAACTAGTATTTACGAAAGTAATACTGCAGAGAGTCATTTTAGAATTAAAATGTTGAGCTAGAAAGATTTAATTCTTAGGGAAATAGCCAAAGAAATTGATGCTGACACCATCATCTAATCACAACACCTCCGCCTCCATCTACCTCCTCAACGCCGTTCCCGGTCTCCACAGTAATGTAGCCACACGTGAATGACACTGCCCTTCAGTAAGCTGATTTACATCAAAGGTCTACCATGTCTGATTATGGTATTCCCACAAGAAAGCAAAATTCCACTTCGCTGTGAACATCCACTCTGTTCAGGATCTTTGGTACATTTGGAGTATAAGAAAATAATGGCACAATCATACAAGTACTATCAAAGGAAAATTTTTCATTAAAAAAAATAAAAGTTAACCAGCCATGATATGTAACAACTTTCTAGAAGACCAAAGTAAATAGCTCTTTGTACTCTACAAGTCCATTTACATGATCAGAAGTTTGACATTTAAAAAAATAGTTTAATAAAAATACACTAGGTTCTACAAGCAGCCTTCATGGTCATTTCTTATATTCAACTCACCATAATCAAATTAAAATAATGCCATGTCCTCTTGTTAAAAAAGAAGTCCTCTTGTCACAAGAAAAGCAACTTTACATTTTATATAATATAGTACATCTCCCCTATGAGTACACAGACTAAGTATATAAAGGTCATCAGTGTTTCTGAATGCAAAGTAAATATATTAGTGGAGTGCTTGAGTGAAGATGTTAAACTTCCTCCTTGTTACAAACTTGTCACTCCCTACTGTGGAGTTTGTGTTATAACATGATGATAAATCCTATTTTTTAAATAACCAGTGTATTTTCTTTTAAAATTTCTTAAAACCATTATAGAAATTGTCTTCATATGTATCTATAGCTGTCCAAAGCAGTAGGGCAAGTGTTCTGACACCAACTATGGAAGATGGCTTTTATTGATTATCTAGACCCATCAGATTTGCAGTGAAACAGCAGTACTGCAGTGTTACCTACAGGTTAGCCTATGTTGCTTTAAATGATATGTTGCTCCTGAATTGGTTAAAGGTGTTACAGTACAAAGCCACAGCACACACAGGCAGAATGGACCTTAACACGCATGTAGGCAGTGCAGTTAGAAAGGGATGTACGTTCCTTTTATTCCAGTACCTTCGTATAATAAAGTTAACAAAAATAATAAAATATTTAAAAAAAAAGCCAGCTGGCACTGCCAACCAATTCCTATAGTAGTCTTAGAAATCCTAATCCTGTAGAATTTCCTCTTGTAGGCATAAGCACCACCATCTTCAGGAGTATTTCAGTGCGCTGTTACCTACGCCAAGCAAGCCTGGTGATGCAGCTACCTGAGTTCTCTTGGTTGTGGGAGAATGTGATCTTCACTCATAATTTCCCGGGTTTCATGTAGGTGGGGATAGAGCCACGCTGAGTCAACCCTTCAAACCTTTTATATGTATAATTGAGGAAAACCCAGTCTTTGGATTTGTAGTCCGGTTCTGTGGTGTTTGGCACTAGAAAGATAGAAAAATTAACCAAGAGCAAAAGAATTTTGTTAGTGAAAATGTAATCATTTATAGATTTTTGATGGTGTTAGTTGTGTTGTCAATTGCCTTACCTGGTTGTAAAATATCAGATTCAGGAAAGTCATCAAAGTTTGAAGTGTCATCAATGCTTTTGATTTCTATAGGAATTGCTGCTGGCCTTTCCCTGTAAAAGGTATTGAGTAGCCATGATAAATTTTCTTGAACTCTTTAACTTTCAAAAAAACAATTCTACTTGAAAATTCTTCATGCTGTTCTATAGATGTCAGAAGAGCCAAGGAAAGTTATTGGGACTGGATCCTACCTAATTAACTTAGGAATATAATTCTTCTAAGAGAGGAACCATACATCAAGTCATCTGGGAAAATAAGGGGCTCCAAGGGGGATGGGACTACACGTTTGTGATGAAATCTGAATCCAAAACTTCTTAGGAGTCATATAAATTCTAAGGGAATCAGGGACATTGGGTTAAAAATACCAGTCATGAAAATGCCTTCTTACCAGGCTAAAAGTTTTAAAGTATAAAAATGGTTAAAAGAAGCTATCAAATTTTATTGCCTCTATAAGTTTTAACAAATATTTACTGGATCTATTCAGATTAAGTTTACATTATGCAAAAGCATGTATATACTTTCCCAGAATTACTCCAAGTTATTTCTATGTAATACACTTATATGAGTTTAGTGGAAAGAGCCAGAGACCCTTGTCCACCCAGATCTACTCCCTTTTCATTACCTAGCAGTATGACTCCAGGCAAGCCAGCCTCTACTTTGCGACCACTTCCTTATTATGAAGCCAAGACACTGGACTGGTGGTCTCTAAGCACCCTAGTAACTGTAAAAAGGGGGGAATCATAGTCCCATTCACAGAGATGATAGATATATGTATACAGTAGAATACGACGCAGCAGGAGTCCAGAACAAAACTGGCCAGGTCCAACTCTAGTTAGTAATTCTAGCTACTTACTGGCTGTGGCACTGTAGCAAGTCACTTCTCTGTGCATCAGCTTCCTCATTGGTAAAATAAGGAAAATGAAAGTGCCTATTTTATAAGACTAATAGACTAATTATAAGGATAAGAAATCTACATAAAGTACTTAGGAAAATGCTGAACCTATTAATAAATAATCAAAAAATTCGCTGTTTTTATAACAGAGTGCCTAACCCGCAGTAGAAGCTCCAGTGAAGACCTGCATGGTAGAAGTGACACATAAGCCATCTGAGAAGATGGAAAGGAGCGCAAGCGAGGGCAGGGAGGAGAGCCTATCAGTCCGAGTGAAAAGCAGAGGACAAAGCTGTGAGGTAGGAGCGGGAAGGTTTATGTAAGAGGAAACCTGTAGCGATGAGGTCAGTCATACCCCCCAGTCCTGAAATGCAGTTAAGGATCCTTAAGTGAGTTCTAAGTGCAAAGGGAAGGAAGAAAATAGCATGATGAGATTTGTTTCTAAACTGTTCCTATGTGGAGAACACATCAGAATTACTGAAGATAGTTTGGCTATACACTGAATAAAAGCCAGTGCTCACAATTAACAAATATAAGCAAATTGTAATGTTACATTATTTAATTTTCCTCACAATGTGTAAACAGGCACTGAATCTCATAAATTAATAAAGGAGACAAAGTAGGGTATATTAACAAGGGGACAAAAACGAAAGGTTCTGGTGTGAAATGGAGATGCAGCTTGGCATCTCCAGCCTTCACCGTATAACTCTGGGTACAGAAGTCAAACAGTGTACAGTGTGTGATCTTCCCCTTGAAGTAGATGCCAGTTAAAACCAGTCATTCAGCTATAGTACAGTCTCACATAAGCTGAAAAACACTGAGTTTATAATACGACAGCGTTGCCTCTTGTATCCAGCAGAATCAGACAAATGAATCACTAAATCATTTTTTACTCATCCCTTTTCCATTCAGAGCCTGTGAACATACCTGATGTGCCCCCAGTCTACACCTTCAAAAAAGGGATGACCTTTTATTTCTTCTACTCCACTATTTCCAATTCTGTTTTCAGAATCAATACAAAATCTAGAAAGTGGACACACAAAAATTATCATATGCAAATTACATCTAAGGTTTTCTATTTTCATTACTTCAAGCTTTTCACTTTTGCTTTTACAGAAGGTAGCTCTGTTTATTATGGGATGTGTGGGATAAAACATAAATTATATGTAATTGCATCACTCAGAGATAACTACTATACACAGTTTGAAATCATCCTAGTATTTTAATTTTAAAAACATTATGTTGATAAATTACTTACTATTTTAGGATTTTTTTTCACTTAATATATTGAGAAAATTTCCCAAAGTCATTAAAAGTTTTTCTATAACTTCATTTCCTGAAATTTATATATGAAAATATTATAATTTATTTAGCCAGTCCACTACTGCTGAACATTTAGATAGTTTTCAATTTTTCATTATGGAAACCAGTATCATGATAAACATACTGTACCTACATCTTTACACACGTTGTGTAAAAACAAAATCCCTAAAAGTAGAATTTCTGGGTCAAAAGCCAAATACAGCTTAATGATCACAATACGCTGTCAGTGGCTGTCCCCATAGTTGTGCCAGTATGTATTCCTTCCAGCTGTTCACAACAGAATCAAAACCCTTCATCTCAACTGAGAAACAGAATGGAACCCTTTGCTTAGATAAGATTTCATAGAAAGACTTTTGTGATATGAACCGCCACTAACAACAGTCTTCCTTTCTCTTTAATGGGACAGGATCACTGCAGTCTCACAGGAGTGACCTCTGAAGCAATACAAGACCTCTGCTCTCTTCTTAACTCTTTGTTTTTTTTTTCCCTGCATACTTCCCTTTAAGAGTTTGCATTAGCAAACAAACAAACAAACAAACAAAAAAACCCAAACACCTTTTCTTTATTGATCTGTTCAATTGTATATATCAGTGGTAGTCCTTTCCTTCCCACAAGAGTGAAACGGCCAATCTGGTCTTTTAGGTACCTGTGAAGTTTTAAGACATGACAAACTCCTCTAGGACTTGAACCACTAACCTAAGAATTAAATCCTTGGCTTTTTCAGATATAGGCACCTCTGGAGGAAATACCAGAGTTTCTTTCCAGTTCATCACTTTTCTATATGTTTCTTGAGGTGTCTCAGAGCAGAAAGGCGGATACCCTACATATCAAAGAAAACAAAAGTTTTGTCAGCTTTTATGATCAAATATGCTCTATACTTGCTATATACAAAGCCCTGAGTGCTCTATTTAACAATAAAAATACCACCAGTCATCAATTCACAATAAAATTCCTAATGAAGTCAGTAAGATAAAGGATTTAAAGCATTCTCCTCCCCCACTTTCACCTGAAAGGCCCTGCAGATACAATTTTGATACATGGGGGTTCAGTTAAATACCCACTTCTTGAAACTGGACCCCCAGGGAGCTCACTGTGGAGGGGGCGGGGAAAGGTGGAGGTGTGTGCGTGTCAGAAATTGGTTTAAAAGAATCTGATGTGTTAGCCTATAGTGTCTGCATATGTCAATCAATCAGCAGTACTCAAGGCGATTTATATAGTATGCACATAAATGAATGACAAAACATACCTATTAGCATTTCATACATAATCACTCCCAAAGACCACCAGTCACACAATTTGTTGTAACCAGTCTGCATGAACACCTCTGGCGCAATGTAATCTGGTGTCCCAACTGTGGAATATGCCTGCAAAGGAGTAGCTTGTCAAACCAGCATTCTTAATATATTTTTTGAAAGACATGAGTATGACTCACTACTGTAAAAAGCAATATATAGCAAAGTCAGTTTTCTAATACTTGTTTTGCATGTTTATCATTTATAAGGCTTAAGTGATAGGTACTGAATCAGATAATGTTATTTAAGACATGATTTCTGCCCCCCCCAAAAGCTCAACTATTGTAAGTTACCAATACATTTAGTCCTAAATCCAGTTCAAAATGATTAAAAGGGTTAAGCCCAGTAGGCCTGGCTCCCCCCCACTATTAATATGTTCTTAGGTTATTACACCTCCTGGAGCCTCAGCTTCTGCTTACATAAAACTGAAGTAATAACTGGAGCCTGCCTGAGCAGCTGATATGAGGGTAGAACAAGAAAAGGAGTGTGCTTTTTAACTCACTACAACCTACTATAAATAAACGTCAGGTGTTTTCATTACAAACCGGATTCCAGGCCACTGCTCATCCATTAAGAAGCAATTCTTAACTCATATAAAGCCTAAAAGAAAAACCACTTAAGATTTCTCCTCTTAAGGGTAGTACTCTAAGGGACGTGTGAAAATGTGTGACAGCAATTTTGTCATTTCAATGACCCGGGGGAGGAGATAATTGGCACTGGGTGGGCAGGGGATACAGGTTCTGAAGGAATTTCCTGCCCAAAATTCAATCGAGCCCCCTTGACTTCTCCTTTGGGAAACGCTACATAAGTTATGATGATGGCCACAAGAACAGTAACACATGTACCGAAGTAATCATCTGTAAATATTCTGAAAATAAGGGGTTATAGAATTCCCACCATATTTTTAAGCAGTGTTCATTTTTCCCTTTTAAAGTAGGAAATCAATGGTAAAATCTGATCTAAAAGTGATACATTTAAAGTAGAAGGAAGTTTTCATGGTTAATGCATAACTCAACACTTTTTTTTTTAAAGATTTTATTTATTTATCTTTAGAGGGGAAGGGACAGAGAGAGGGAGAGAAACATCAATGTACGGTTGCCTTTCATGCATCCCCTGCTGGGACAGGCCTGCAGGGAACAGGCACCAGGCAGTGCCCTGCGGGAATGACCTGTCTGGTTCGCAGGCCCGCGCTCAATCCACTGAGCTACACCAGCCAGGGCAACTCAACACTTTTTAAAAACATTTTTAAAGCCTTTAAAAGCACAGAAATGTTTTACTTGTTCAGGAAGCTTGCAATTATGTGCTCTGGGCTGATGAGAGAATAGCTCAATGATGCAAAGGTCATTTTATTTGGTGTGAGAGGGTATCCTTGAGGGAATGCTGAATTTCACTTTCATCACTTTGCTGAATTTAACATATTTACAGAGTATCTATATTTGTGAGGCATTGTACAGGAAAATAGGAAAACAAAGTCAAAAGGCACATTTCTAACAGTGAGAATGTTCAAAGACCTAGTTAACAGGATAAAGGAAAAGAGGGAAGGGGCAAGAGATTCTTATATTTGCAAAGTAAAAGAGGAGAAATTGTGTAGGGTTATGAATAGACAGTGTTTTTGCACATTGAAGGAATAATTTGTCTGTGGTAAAGTCTGCTTTCTAATTGTATTTATTGTAGGACTGTTAACACACCAAGCTTCTTGTTTACTTTATAAAGAAGTTCTTAGAAACACACAACCCCATTACAAGTGCTGATTGATATTTGTTGTATCAGGACAAGTATGGAAAATGGAAAGAGACATCGCAAGGCATTCAGTACACTTATGCTTATCTCAGTGAGTTTTACATAAAGTGCTAATTACTAGTAAATAATTTAATTATAAACATGCTTGATAAAGTACTCTAAAGTTAAATTATAGAGTAAAAATCAGCACTTCACTTTATAGGCAAGGTGACATTACAGAGAAACTAAGGAAACTGTGTGACCCTAGAACAAGCCCTATCATTACTGTAAAGTAAGTAATGACCCTTGTGAAAGACACAAAATAATCAAGCAAAACCCAAGGGAGGTTTTAGAACCAGGGCACAAAACTGTTTCTTAAAAACGTGGCTAACTCACCAGTTGTCTTCGATTCTTCTTCCATGTTTCTGCTTTCCTCTTGGAGTTCATGTTCTGAAATGCTAATTTCAACAAGACAGAGTTGTAACCACAAAAGAAAAACTCTCACCCCCAAACCAATTCACACATATACATTAAAAATGCATTGGTTGCCCTGCCAGGTGTGGCACTTTTAGTTGGGCATCGTCCCACAAAGCAAAGGTCGCCAGTTCGATTCCAGGTCAGAGCACACACCTGACTTGCAGGTTCGGTCCCTGGCGGGGGACAAATATGACCAGGCAACTGATCGATATTTCTCTCCCACACTGGCGTTTCTCTTCCTCTCTCCCTCCCGTCCCCTCTCTCTAAAAAAATAACTATTTTTTAAAAAATGCATTGGTTTAAGGAGTAAGGAGAGGGAAAGAACATTTCTAAACAGTACTGAATTAGAACAGCTGTACTACTTTAATCCAAACAAAAACAAACTCACAGAAGTCACTTGGTGGGTTGTGTGTAAGGTTTCTGTAAAACTCAGTTCGGTGGGCTTTCTTTAATCCTGTGCATAATCCAAAATCAGATAATTTTACATGACCCTAAAAAAAAAGCCCCAAAAATAAACTAATGAAATCAGTGGATTATATTGCTATTAACTTTGAAACAAAAGCTTTATTATAAACTCTTTTCAAAATTCAATTATTATAAAAATTCTCAGCTTACAATTCATACAAATGAATTGTAAAATATTTGATGATTCCATCATCTATGCAACAATGTATTATAGTTTAGCAATAATAAATTGCTGTTGTCGACTGCCAGTCACAAATCAGCTCTATTACTTCTCCATAAAATTCTTAGCAACCTAATCATTCACCAGTTTATTCACATGCCTTGGCGTCCAACAAAAGGTTGTCTGGTTTAATATCCCGATGGATAAAACCCAACTGGTGGATGGCATCGATCGCCAGAACAGTCTCTGAAATATAGAACTGTGTTTCCTCTTCCGTCAAGGTATCTTTCTTCATTAGCAATGTCATCATGTCACCTATACGTGAAAAATAAGGAAAAATAGGTTTCGTGTGTCAAAAATGCCTCAAAAACTTTCTTTGTATCTATATAATGTTGCCTGATTTTTGCATTTTCTGATCCACCCAGTATACCTCCAACCATCTCTAGGGCCAAATAAAGAGTATCATTGCATAAGCAGAAATTTTATTATATTTAATGGCTTTAAATAGAATATGTGAAATCAAATCAAAGCAGAGATATAAGGAAGTTATATCCACCACTCAACTTCTAAAATAAGTTGCTGAGAAAAACATGTCAAATTGGAAAATAAGTCAATAAGCACACCCAGAGATGGGATATATTTCTTCAAATTCAAGTTCCAAAAACACTCAGAGCTCTTTGGGCTAGCAAAAACAGGACATCATTCCACTAAGAAACTCACCTGTAGACATTCTTTAGTTTCAAGGGATTTTTTTTCTTTAAAAGGAGGTAAAGAACAAACACTGGTGAACTTATAACTCAAAATTGACAACTGTCAATATTTCATGATGCTTCAAGACTTCTTTAAAAAAATAACAGTAATATTCTTTGTCCTCCATTCCCATTCTATTCCTCTTTCCCTTTCTGCTGAGTAACCATTATCATGCATTCAGTTTATGTGTATCCTTCCAGCTTATTTTTAAAATGTGTTTTCATATAGAATACTTACATACTAATCTATGGACTTACATTCTTATGTAGGTTTTTTTTTAATTACAAAAATGGTATCAACTGTACACATAATCACACAGCTTGCTTTATTTCTCCACTCTGTTTCTGAGATTTCACTGTTGAACCAAATATAGCTCCTGACTTTTAACTGCTGTAAAAATGTCATCACATAATTATGCCGCATCTTATTTATCCATTCTTTCATGGGCGGGCATTTATCTTGCATCCAGTTCTTCACTACTCTGATGCTGCTGCAATGAGCATGCTTTTACAGGTCTCCTGTACGTGGGTACGGGGGAGTCTGCAGACAATACAGCTGACCGTGGAAGTGAGGCTGCAGGGCATCTGCACCTTCCACTTCACTGCTGTGCATGAACTGCTGCTCTCTGTAAGAGTTATAATTCATATAAACGAGAGGCCAGTTTCCCCACAGTCCCATCTGACTTTGAATGTTTTACTAATCAGATGAGTATGAAATGGTTATCTCCTTCTTGCTTTAACTTGCATCTCCCTGAATACAGGTGAAGTTGAACATTTTCCTATGTATTTATACACTAGCCACAGTTCTCTTCAGTATGTTGTCTATCATTAGCCCATGGGGTGTCTTTTTCTTTAGTGACTTGTTCTTAATTCTGGACTTAAAACATTCTAACTAATTATATACAGGAAACCCAGGATGACAGTACTTAAAATGTGCCAACTTTATCATCCCTTCAAAACAGTCTGATTTGTGGTCAAAATTAGCATTATCATGGGAGCAACCATTGGAAAACCATTCCCAACTATGTGCGACCTCAGAGCTAGGAACATAAAAGTGAAGCCTAATCAATGAAAGTGTAATCACACACAGTGGTTTGCTCGTGTCAGTCTGTCAGTGCTGTTTCATTTGCTTTTACCTCCAGGGAGAAACTCCATGATAAGATAAAGGTTCCTCTTATCTTGAAAACTGTAAAACATCTTCACCACCCAGGCACCATCTGCTTCTACCAAAATATCTCTTTCTGCTCGAATATGAGCCACCTAGATGAATGCATTTTGAAAAAATAATTGTAACACATTACACATTTTTCAAGCTTACCTCTTACAATTATCCATCCATTTCCTTAGAAGTCACGAAGGAAAGCTGGAGTTTCAGAAAAGATTTGAAACATATATGCATGTTCATATTCTCATTAAATATGGAGAATCTCAGGAAATAGCTTAGTTTTAGCTTATCTCTTTAGGCCTAAAAAAGTGGGATCCACAGGTATATCAGAGGAAGCTCAGGCCTCTGAAGTACAAAAATGAGTAGTCTAAAACCCTTCTGACAAGATTCTCTACCTGAGCAAGGATCCTGGCTTCGTCTTATAAATTTAGGGCCATTGCCTGACTTTTAAAAATTAACAGTAAGAAATGCTCTATAAATTGACATGGTAATTGCTAAAATCAGGGTCCTTAGCAAACTATTTTTAACTGTTAGTAGTCAAACAAAAGACCTGTCCTGACCTTTAACCATTTGGTTGTTGTCTTAAGAAGTAGAAACATTTAGAGTAACTTTGTTATTCTGTTATAACCTAAAACTTCTGTAGTATCTATAAACGTGACCTATAACAATTTAATGTGATTCTGAGGAGGCTGCTAGTGACTTCTGTCAAATGCACAATCACAAGATGTCCACCTTCTAGGCTGGAGTGTTTTGTAAACTGAGTCATTTGTGGAGTTAATACGATCAATTTTCAGGTATTTTTGCATTAATATATTTATACATTCTTTCTTGAAAGACTAACAATAAGATTTGATTTTATGCTTTTGCTATTTACATTGTGCATCATTACAGAGTCAGGCCCAAAGCAGATGACAACACAGAATTTATAAAGCTTTTCATGTTAATAAAATATCTGCTTAAAATATTCCATTTGAGATTATTATGTTCTCTAATATGGTAAATGCTCTAAGATCAAAGCAAAAGAATAAAAGATAAAAACTAAGAAACTGCCCTGGCCAGTGTAGCTCAGTGGATTGAGCACGGGCCTGCGAACCAGACAATCGCAGTTCGATTCCCAGTCAGGGCACATGCCTGGGTTGCAGACCAGTTCCCTGCAGGCCAATTCCCAGCAGGGGACACATGAAAGGCAACCATACATTGATGTTTCTCTCCCTCTCTCCTTCCCTTCCCCTCTAAAGATAAATAAATAAAAATCTTAAAAAAAAAAACCCAAAAACTAAGAAACTGTTTTCCGGCATCAAAAAACTTTATAATCTCTCTGGATCTGTTTCAGAATTCTTACCCATTGTCTTCTACAAAGCATTCTAGGATGGTAAAGGAAAAACCTTAAACTTTTGGTTTTGCCTCTAGTATTGTCAGGAAAAACAACCACACCACCAACTTGGCTTGGTTATCTTTAAGTATCTTAAAAGCCAGATGACAGAGTATGTTCTCAAAATGCACCCTGGTTCCAAAGGACAGCAAGTGCCATGCACAGTAATCTGGTACCACAGCAGTGAAGACAGAAGTTGCCACTTCATTTTGTGGGGTAATTAGCATTGAACCAAATGAGATAAAAACTTAAAATTAACGAATTGAAATTGAGTGGGGAAAAGATTTTCTAAAATGAAATTCAATGGTGACAAATGCAGATTTATTTACATAGGAGGAAACCAACCCCAAAGGGCAAAGTCCCACTGAAACCACCCTGCACAGGAACACAGCGTGGTCAGGGGCTCTTCAAATTCTGGCAAAATATTCTAGACCACACCTGTCCAGTAGAAATATAATGCAAGCCACAAGTGTAATTTCAAATTTGCCAGGAGTCACATAACAAGTAAAAACAAACAAGTGAATTTTTTCAAATAATAAAGTTTAAAAACTTCATATATCTAAAATGTTCTCATTTCAGTGTAACCAATATAAAATTATCGAAATTTTTTTACACTCTTTTCTTCATAGCAAGTCTGCACAAGTTGCTGTGAATTTTCCATCTGTAGCACATCTCAATTCAGACCAGGTACTTTTAAGTGCCCAGTATCCACATGTGGCTAGTAACTAAAGACGACAGCTAGACCTCACGGCCGCCCTTCCTAACCCCAGTGTCGTTTTGTTAGACTGCAGTTTATCTCCTTGTCTCTAAAGCTGTGCACCTTGACCCAGACACCTATTCCCCTCATTATCTGTAACCCTCTAATACAACTCAGTATCTCGATCTTCTTGCCATCCAAACCCTCTGTAATCAATCTGTCTTCAACAAAAATCACCTGATCTCTGAATGGTTCCTATCACCTTTTCATCCTAAATGAAACCAGGCTGTCCGTCTACTGAGAGTTCTGTCATCCTGCAGGCTGAGTTCTCAAGAAGGGCCTGCTTTTCAATCACATGTTGCTGGTGAGGGGCTGGGTTTCCTACGCATTTCCTGGCTGCTCCTGAACCACAGTAACACTTTCCTTCTCTCCAGCTCCCGTGAAGCAGATGCTGTGAGGCTGCATCAGCCGTCATCCTTCTTCACAGCTGTCCTTTACAGAACTCCTGGTCAACCCTCCTCTTTCATGACTTCAGCTCCTGGCTCACCACTTCCCAGGGGTGAACCATCCAATACCCTACCTGCACATTGCTTTGACTTCCTCACCTCCAGTGATCTTTTCCCCTGCTACCTCTCAGCCACCCATGATAACCTTGTCTTTCTCGTCATTAATAATCATCCCTCCTCTAAAATCTCAACTTTAAGGAACTGTTTCTGATCTCCACCTTTAACCTTCCAAGTCTCTTATTCTTACACTTCAATCTGCATTCCACGACCCTATCACTTTTCCTCTATTACTCTCCTCACTACCTCATTCCTTTCTCTACCCAGCCTAAATTCCATCAGTATGATCACTCTCTTGCAAATACCTTGATTTCCCTTGTCCTTCTCTCCTTCCACTGTATTTGCCTGGCCAAACCCCACCCCTAGTTAACCTCAATTTTCTGTCTACTGCCCAAAAGCAATTAAGTATTACCTGAGTAAAATCACCTAATCATACCACTGGTTTCACTTGACATTCATGCCGGAAAATCTCAGTGGGCATGTAACTGCACTTCCCTAGCACGTCCGCTTTCCCACATCACAAGTCACTAGTTTTGACTGTTTCATGCCTTCCTCTCCTCACACTTCCAACAAGTGACCTGCCTCCTCTACTCCAAGCTGATGACTCACTTATTCATACTCAGACAGAAACTTGGCACTTTATTACACTCTCGGATCAACCACCCTGCATTTGCTCTCATTTTCTCTGCTTTTCCTTCCTGTTTTAATGAGTCTGCCCCTACTCCTATCAAAGATCACCTCCTGTCTTCCAGTGCATTGCTATACTTCTCTGCCCTCTCTCTCCTGCACCACCAACTTTCCTCTTCCTGATGGGTTCTCCCAACCACCACGAACCATACCCTAGCATTGATAGTAGCCACATGCCCTCCACTTCACCAGTCTATTTTTTGTTCTGCCTCACATGATTTATCTGTACTCACTATCTCCATTTCTCGATTCCCATTTTCTTTGCCACTAACCCAATTAGGCTTCTGCCCTCCAGTACACTCCAGTACACTTGGGAATTGTCCTTGCCAAGTTATTAAGAATCTCTCCATTGTGACATCTGTTTTCAATAGCTGCCTGCCTATTTTCCCCACTCCCATAAAAGAACAAGGATCAGGTTTGTCCTGTGAACCACTGTATGCCCAGAACCTAGAACATACACATACTTGTTGGGTGAATGAAATAGAAATAAAAATAATGCAGTGAGAATTCAAGTGGGCCATATTTAAATAAAAATTAATATTATATTGCTACGATAACAAAGTAAGCTTTAGCCCTGGTTGGTGTGGCTCAGTGGACTGAGCACTGGCCTGCGAACTGAAGAGTCACCAGTTCAATTCCCAATCAGGGCACATGCCTGGGTTTTGAGACAGGCCAGATCCCCAGTAGGGGCATGAGAGAGGCAACCACACACTGATGTTTCTCTCCCACCCTTCTCTGTCTAAATAAATAAAATCTTTTTTTAAAAAGTAAGCTTCAGGTGAGCACTGGAAGCATTGTGCACAGAGTGGCACCACCGCCCTCTCTACCCCCGCGGTGGAGACCTTCACCGGCACATACGTTCAATTTAGGGTTTTCCAGAGTATCTACCCAGACTGGAAACACAGGAGAACACACAAAATACTATTGATGCTTTTGGATTTATGGCTGCTGCATAAACTGCATTAAGTCACAGGAAACAGAGAGAGAGAGACAGCCCAGGAGTAGGAAATTAGAGTGGTTACAGATTTTGGAAATACATAAAATCAAAATCAGTAAATTCTCAGGAGACTGATCTTACTTTTGATATGTAACAGGGATTGAGGGTACTAAGAACTATCCTTTAATTCACACTGAAGTCAGAAAAGAAGGTATTTTACTATGGACTGAACGTCTGTATACCCCCCAAACCTCCATGATAAAGCCCAAACCCTGAGTTTAACTGGATTTAGAGATGCAGCCTCTAAGGAGGTAATTAAAGTTAAGCAAGTTCAAGGGGGGGGGGGGAGGGAGGAGTTGGGTGCCTTATAAGATAAGACATCAAAGAGTTTTCTCTCTGAAAGCCAGGAAGAGAGCCCTCACCAGTAACCAAAAGCTGGCAGAACCTTTATTTTATGCTTCCACCCTTCAAAACGACTAAAATAAATTTCTGTTAAGTCACCCAGTCTGCGTTATCCTGTTACAGCAGCACAAACAGGCTAATGCATATTTAGATTATAAATTTGGAAAATATGTTACTATAAGAACTAAGAAACAATGAAACAGTCTATTATAAAATTAATAGATTATATAGCAAAACGTGTAGGTTTCTTTTAAGAAATTTCAATCTCAGCACTTCTTCTAATACCTCGTCAGTGGATGTTCCATTAGTTAACATATTGAAGAACATACCTGCTCTTTTTCAAGCATATCAGCTTTTCTCAGTATCTTCATTGCATAGATATGGCCTGTGTCTTTCTTCTGGACCAGCCGCACCTAGAATGTAAAGATTGATCACATTATAAATGTTAAACTGTCGCCACTACTTATTTAGGAGAGATTGTTTTAAAGAAAACAGTGTTGCAATTTGCCATTCATGCTATTTAAGGAATTCTATTCAAATTAAACTGTTTTCACACATATTACATTATTTTAACCTATCTGAAGATACATACGTTCAATAGCAGTGACTTTAAAAAAGAACCACACCTCTCCAAATGCCCCTCTTCCTATGACTTTCAGAGACTCGAAGTCGTCCAAGCCCAGCCTGGTCCTCTTGAGCCGTAAGAACTCAGTTTCCTTGCGGGCATGTTGTGATCGGCGTAACTTTTTCTATTAAAAAACAACAAAAAAAGACAGTTTAAAAAGATGCCTTTAAAATCAGATTGTTTCAAAGGAAACCTACAGCATTAAAAGGTAAGATACATAAAAATGGGGGTGACGTATCTTATATTATTATATACTGGTGCTATAACTTACTTACCAAAATCAGGTATTTGTTAAGCATAGAAATAATAAAACAATCTAAGGAAATTTTTTAAAAATTTTAACAATTGATAAATCTTTACTCTTGAGGTACACTCCATTAAATATTTCATCTTAACTAATTCACTGTATTCTTTCATCTATGTGCTAACTTAATTTAAAAAAATTAAACTTTAGAAAATGCATTCTGATATTGACTTTTACTGTCAAGAAATCTACTTTGCTTCAGTTCCCTAAATCCAAGCTTGCTCTGTCACAACTACTGAGACTATGACACCAAAAGAACACAGCGGAGTTCCCAGAGATTTACTTAGGGTAGAATTTAATCGTGGACAAGTTGTAATAAACTGCATGTGACTTGGCACACAACTTCCTGAAAATATAAAATTGTAACAAAATAATTACTCAAAGAATTCATTAAAATATTCAAGTCAGGAGTCTCATAATTCATTCTCCAGAGATCACAAAAAATAACCAGCATTAATAAGAAACATTATGAAATACCTTCAGGTTACATTTGCAATGGGCATTTGTTTCATTGTTCTATTGGATTAGCCAAAAAGTTCTTTCGTTTTTTATGTAAGATGGCTCTAGAAACACTTAGTTGTCATTAATTTCATTCTAAACAATTTTGTTACACTGTACTGACAGCTGTCAAGTCAGTATGCATTAAAAAACTTACCTACATGGGTGAATTTTTGCATATTCATTTTAACATTGAAGATGGAAGAAAATATGCAACATCTTCATAAATATGAAATAATAAAGCATAATAATAAAATGCTAAAATAGTAAAGCATTTCAGTAAAGGTAAAAACACTGAAATGCAAAAAAAAAATGATTTGTGCAGTGTATGCAGAAGGTGCTGTGACTGAATGAAGGTGTCAAAGTGGTTTGTGAAGTTTCGTGCTGGAGATTTCTCACTGGATGATGCTCCACTGCTGGGAAGACCAGCTGAAGCTGATCGTGATCAAACGGAGACATTGAGAACAATCGATATTACACCACATGGGAGACAGCTGACATACTCAAAATATCTAAATCAATAAAGTTATTGGTGAAAACGAAAAATGTGTCTTTTATTTCATGAAAGAAACCATAAAGGACTTTTTGGCCAATCCAATATAGTTTGTTTCCCCCCTCACCAAATAAAATTCTGTTTTCTGACACATCTCCTAGTAGAGGTAACATAGAGGGGGATAAAGAAAATCAGTGAAAAAAAATTAAACCCCATTCATCTTTGAAAGCCCTACAAAGCTTTCAGTGGTTCAGTTCTAAGGAGGAGACAAGTCAAAATAACATTACGAGCTCAGAAACCTAAATGCAGCTCAAGTTGTAACTATTAAATAGTTGTTCCCAACCCTTGTGTATATGTTTTCAAAAGGGTAAGGTAAACTGTTAATTAGAAATACGTAAATATGTATAGCAATGCAATGGAACTCCAATACTTCTAACAAAGTTAATCCAAGGATAAAATTAAGAAATTATGTCTTCAATCTAAACATCTTTAAACAGCTAAATGAAGTTACACGCTCAGGCACATAAATGCTGGAAACAGTGAATACTACTTGTTCAAAAATGCCTTTTGAATAACACTTTAAAAAACTGAATTACTAGTAAAACAAAAAGATCAAAAAAGTAATTTTAGACATTGAGACTATAATTCGAAAGGCCACATGGTGGCAGTGCAGGACTGTCTTTCAAGGTAGTAAAGCATGAGGTCCCTCTTTAATGACATAAATGAATTACATGTAAGAATGTTGAGAGGCATTCTAAATTTCTGACTTCGGTTATAAAACAATACAGTGGGATATAGTTTCAGAAATTTGTCTAATCTTAATGAAAAAGATGACTTAGTTTCATAAATTATGCTCAAAACTGACCAAGGCAGCCAAAAGAAACTAATGTTTATTAATATTTGGTAGGGTATGTAACACAGCAAGTAAACATTGTTTATGTGTGGAAGACAGCTATTTAATAGCAAAAAAGGAGAATCCAAAGTACAGATATATAATCTGACAAAAACCTATTCCATGATATTAGTCTTAAATCTTAAAAGTCCATGTTATAATTCAGAGGTAGCTAAAGAAAATTTATCTTAAAAATTTTATGGAAAAAAAAAAAAGCATGCCGACATATCTGGTCACAACTTGTGTTAATTAGGTTGTCTTAAAAAACAAATATTTTTGTGGTAATCATATCTTTTCAAAGAAAACATTAAAAATCTGTATACAAGGTCAATATTTCATGGCTCTCTTTTATGGCTTAAACTCGCCTATATTGGTTTTCCATTGGAGTAAACAATATCCCGTGTTTAATGGGATTTTTCTAACTTCAATAAAGATAGAAATATATCACTTTCTTCCGTCCTCCAGTCCTTCTTAAATGGGCGTTCCTCAAACTCTCAACCCGCAGGGTGCTCGGTCTGTGTACGAGCCGGCGTGCACAGAAGTTTGGGGGCACACGAGGGTCCGCTAGCACTGCTGCCTCAGGATGCGTTTCAGGGCTACACCACGTGGGTTAGTTTTCACAAGTAATGTCCGTGGATAATTTTCCACTACAGAATGAGTTAAAGATGAACACTGGCTTTCATTAAAAAAAAAAACTAGATTCTTATTTTAACTTAACATAAAGATAGTTCCAACAATTATTATATTAGGTTGAGAAAGTATGTCTTTTTATAAAATTTGACATAATGTAAGACCTCACCTAAGGCCCACAATAATCATTTGTGAAATTAAAATATCTTTACTGAAAATTATTAGTTTTATGGATGGTTACTATGGGCCACTGACTATTCTCTAGGGAAACAATTGTTTCCCAGTTTCTACAAGCTATTTAGCAGAGTTAAAGGAAACAGTTCTAACGTGCTCGGTGCTTCCTGGTGCAGACGAGAGGCTGCAAACTGGAGGCTACACGCCGTCTTCAACTCACAGTATATCTGACTCAGCCTGCAGCGATTTGTAAAAATTTGAATTACATGTCAATCTTTTACAGAGCAAGTGATGTCACATCAAAATCCAGATTTCCAGCTTCTCTTGAAAAACACCAGGCCAGTAGAGACAGCCCCCTTTTGAGGGGCATGGGTTCGGTCTTCCCCACTGACGCCAGTCACCAGGTGACTTACATAACTGGACTGGTCCTGTCATTTTGTTTTGTTTTGTTTTGTTTCAGTGAAGTTCAATGTGGTATGACTTTATCAAAAGATAAACCGCTTGGTCAGGTAAGACCCCTCAGAGGGGGGGCAACCTAAGCCAGACATGACCACTTGGGAGGCCTTCAAGGAAGGACTCGGGGGGCTGCAACAAAGAGGATGTGATGGTCCCTTGCACCCTGGCTATTCTGACATGGCCCAAGTCCCCATTTCCGTCCGGGAGAAGCACTTCCTGGCTCTAATCCATTTAAGCCTAAAAACATGATGGGAAAGGCAGTGCAGCCCCTTGCCAACTATAGCGGGATCCAGGGTGATCGGGCATAAGAAAGAATTCACAAAGTCCCGTGAAGCCTGCTTTGCTAAGAGTGATTTCATTCATAGGATAAGGGTCCGAGCAGGAAATGAGTATGTCTCCCAAAGTTTTTACAGCCCCCTTACCTGACAGACACTGACTCAGATTAAGCCCTCAGATTTCTTTGAAATGTTATCTATTGTTTGATCCTTGCCACCTGACATTGATTGATGAGCTTTACCTGTATTCCTGTGTGTTCGGAACCTAATAAAAGCCCTTGAGGAAGGGGCTCTTGGTCCTTCTCCTGTGAAAGATTGACCACCTTTCCTCCCCAAGCAGATCATGTCTTGGTAGTTTCATTTTCATCTGTGCCAGATGGGGGGACTTGCCAGCAAAGTTGCCCCCACACTAAACCATTATCCCTCTCACTTAAAATTTAAAGAAATAAAATTTAAAAACATAGTAAAATTTGAGTTTTCTAGATTGATTCAACAAATTAATAAAGTAATCATCTTTGGTATAAATCATAAAATATTTTGTTATTTAATACTGCAAATATAAAACAAAAGCAGGTACAATCCTAGGAAAGGTACAGAGAAGATCAGATATTGGTTTGATTTTAAATCATCCTTTGGAAGACTATTCTTTAAATACTATAGACTTCCAGTAAAGATGGAGGCGTAGGTAAATATAGCTCGCCTCCTCCCATAACCACAGCAAAAATTACAACTAAACTACAAAACAACTATCACCCAGAACCATCAGAAAACTGAGCTGTCTGGAAGTCTGACAACTAAAGAATTAAAGAAGTCACATTCATTCAGACAGGTAAGAGGGGCAGAGAAGTGGAGACATGGAATAGGCAGTCCCACACCCACGTGTGGTGGATAAAAATTGGGAGGGATACTGCAGGAGTGAGGGATCCCAGAACACCCAACCCAGGGTTCCAGCGTCAGGAAGGTAAGTCCTCATAAATTCTGGCTACAAAAACTAGCAGGGGGTGGGGCAGCAGAAGAAACTGTGGGATTCTCAGGTGTCTCCTCTTAAAGGGCTTGCAACAGACAGGACTTACTCAGACCCACTCCCTCTGGGCTCCAGCACTGGGGCAGCAACTTGAAGAGCACTGGTGGCATGTGGGGGAAAACTGAAGTTTCTGGCATCAGGGTGAGAGCTGAGCGACAGCTTCCACCTGGACAAAAAACTCCAGAGGTGAGGCAGTGGCCAATGTCTGTTTTCTGAGCTCTCCCCCCCAAGAGAGCCACAGAGTAGTGACGCCATATCTGAGACTCCATCAACTTGGTTCACACAGGTTGCCCTGCTTAGGGAATGACCTAAGGCTCTGCCCCATCCAACTAAGGGGTGCGCTTCCCTACAACAGGCCACACTACCAAGACAGGGAGT